TTGAAATGCATTACTGTTTAAAAAATAAATAAAAACCAAGTTCTATTTTAATGAAAATTTAAATTAGTTTTCTCATATTTAAAAATCAATAATGTACCTAATTCTTTATTAAAATAATAAACGAAAAGAACCTTTTTCGTGTTTTACAATACAATAAAAATGAAGAAATACAATAGAAATTGTATCCCAAATTTTTAGACGTTGTTTTTTTAAACATAGTATATAGCTCTTCGCAACTTGAAAATAGAATATTGTTTATTTTATAATTAAGAATTACACTATAATTAAGAATTACACTATAATTAAGAATTACAATAAAGTCAAAAACACATCTGCTGTAAAGAAAATCTCATCAGAACATTTTGTAAAAATGAATTCTAAGCACATAATTTTATGAATTTTTTTTCAAATTCAGACAGTTGAAATTGAATTGGTTTTCGTTTATAATAAAAATCATCAAGCCAAGCATACAAACAAAGATATCATTAGACTATTAACTGGTTATAATAACAAAAATTATCAAAAGTTTAGCTGGATTAAATTTTGTAAAATATTTATTCTCTTACTAAAAAGTTGTTTTATCCTACTTGTAAAGACTATTACTGATAAGACTCCCTTTCAGTGAAATTTACGGATAAATCTAAACAATTTTTGGTCTTATCATATAGAAAATTGAAAAATGTTTCAACAATCGAGTGCAAGATATTAAAATACATCAGCAGCAATAATGTCAGGTACATCGAATCTCTATATTCCAAAAAACATATATTTATTTAAATCTATATTTGTATGTATATATTTATATAGTTAAGAAAAAAAGAAAGAAAAGCACCATTTAAGATCATCGCCAAACATGTCGCCAAAAAAGTGAGCTTTAATTATATACACACACACCTTTTTCATTTCTTTATGTTCACTTTCTTAAATTCATTATTTCTCAAACAAAATAAAGATCAAAGTAAATGTTTATAATTTAAAGCAGTAAGCTTAAAGATAGACTGTGATATTTAAAGGCCAAAGTATTAAATATCATTTAAATAAAATTCTAACGCTTCTAAATAAATAAAAGAATGAGAATTGAAGACTAGTAATTAAAACTCTGCAAGTCACAATGAGAAAAGTATTTCTGAGAGCAACTTTTGGCCGACTTTTTTTTGACTTTTGGTATCTTTTTAATTTTAATTTTTTGAAACATGTTTTCAAAACAAATTTCGCGAAAATTCGCAATATATTTTTTCCACGATTGATACCTTAAACGTTTTTTCAGCCTATTCTTAAGAGATCATCTTAGTTAATTCTTTAAAACACATTTAATAAGAAGTACAAAACTGAAAAGATTGAATAAACCGAATCAATGGTTTTTATGTCAGGGTCTAAGGTATCTTGATAAAACTACCAAATTTTATCACTCATTATAAAATCATATTTTTTTGAAAATTTTAAACAAAATCGATGCCAAATTACTCCTGTAAAAATTAAAGAGCTTTTTGGTGTTTTTAAAGAGCCACAAACACGGAAATTTTTTTTCTTCATATTTTGGTAGTTTTGGACATATTTTTTCTCAGTGTTTCAACAAAGCATTCTCCAAATTATTAATCGAGACACAAAAGACGTTTTTCGTATAAGAAAAAATATTTTTGCTTGATACTTTTAGAGTTCAATATTTTAGTCCCCAATCGCCGATTACTTACTTCCAGTTAATTGTGTTGTTTACAGCTACAAAAAATGTGCTTCTCCTATCGGTTATAATGATATTTAATTTAATAATGCACTATGACCGCTAAAGTTTGATCAGATCTACATGAAAATCTTGTTTTCACGTAAATCTGAGATTGATAACCGATTTCAAAAAACAGATTGTCCAAATTATTTTAAGTTTTGCACAAACAAACAGTTTCTAAATATGTAATTTGAAATTAGTAATTCAGATCTATCATGATATAATCATCAAAAATAAATGAAACAATTTTTCAGTTAGAGAATCAAGTAATAAAAAGAAACTATTAAAAAACTTATAAAAGTAGCAAAATAACATTTATTTAGAAATCTAAATTTAAATCGCAAAAATGTAATGCATCTCTGTCAAATTTATGAACCCTCAAGGGATTTATACTTTAAAAAATAAAAATTTCTAACTTTTTTTCTACATAAGGAATGCGAAAAAGTATAATTGAAAATGTTAAGTGTCTATCGAATCAGTTAAGTGTCTATCGAACAGTTTAAATGTTGTTACTGATTCTAAAAAAACAAATGATTTATAACATTCATTTAGTGTAAATAAGTTCGACCCTTTAAAGAGATCATATAATAACAACAAAATAGATTAAGAAACATCAACAAAACAAAGTAATATGAATATGAACAAATTAAAATAAAAAGAATGTCAACAAAACAAAATGAAAGGAATGTCTATGACATAAAATTTTCAAAAATATCACAGAAATTGCACAACAAATAAATCAACTTTCACGAAAGTTTCATTGAAATTGTTTGCGCATTTCAATTTTTCAAATGATATCAACAAAATGAAATATAACACTCATCACACAACCTATTCATTATTTTGTTTTTAGTCGATTTCATTTTGCAAAATTTTAAAGTAAACTGAGCATTTAAAGCTTTCAAAAACCAAATAAAATTTAAAACAATTTAAAAAAAATGACTTTTTTCCTCTCCATTTGTCGAAAAATTACTGTTTGAAATGATTTTTTATTTCTTGAACATTGGACTTCTGTAGAAATCAAGTCATCTAATAAGTTGTGGTAAGAGCAGATCAGAAGAATTATTTAATTACAATCTCATTTTTTTAATTTTTTCTGCGTTTATTTTTTATTTACAATCAAAAATATTAAGTTAATAAAAAACACACCTTTTTTCACATCGGTCAACAGATACTAGAAGAAATTAGGATATTATAAGGAAAATTCTACCTTATTATTCTAAATTCATTAAAAATACATAATTAACGTGAAAATCCCCTATGAATAAATGGGGCATGAATTATGCAAATTCTTATCAATAAATTATTTATTACGTATTGTCACGATTTTTGTCAATAAAAAAATCCTAATCAGTTTGAGCACTTGAAGTCTTAGACGAATCAACAAAAATTGCACACAATGACAAACATCATCACTTTGGCCAATAAATAACAAGCAAAAAATAACTATAAGGCATTGCACAACAATTGTCTCTATATTTAATTTATAGTTATACCACTTAAGCTGCATACATGTAAAACTAAGACATGACTTCACGACAATTAATCTGGGTACCAGCCCCATACTTAGATACAATTATTAACCATTCAAAATAAAAAGAAAACAATAGCACTTTAACACAATTTTACATTATTCTATGTACAAGAGATTAACACATTTACACCTGCATTCATGAGCGAATATTCCAATACTTTACATTGAATGGCATTTTTAATAATTACCACAAAAGAAGGAAAAACCTCTTCATGGGAAATGATTCCGATACGTTCGTGTTATAAGATAAAATGTGAATTTAGAGTCATTTCATAGCGGACGTTTTCAGATTTTTTTGACATTTTTATTGATGTCGTTGGTAAATGTGAAAATCTGTCTCTTTGCTCAGCACCGCCGACATTTGGTAGTGCGCCAAGCATATTTAAATATTATTCAGCATCTTCCAATCAGCCAGACATTTTCAGGCTTATTTTAATTAGTTTAGATACCTTTAGGCTAATCAGAAAGTATATTAATATAAAGTTAATTCATAGCTCAATTGTCCTGATTTATTTCAAGCGTTTACAATCAGCCTCTAGTAGATAATGCTTATTGGAAAGAGGAATATTAACACGTTGAGAATTACGTCAGTAATCGAAGTCTGACCCTTGACTTTCAGCTTAGGCCATGTCAGTCATCCCTGACTGACAGTGAAAAATAAGATACAAAACAAAACAAAAAAATTAACATTGTCTTAAATTGCAGTAAATTTATTTCATTTTTATTCATTACAGATCAATTTTTTATTGATTTCAATCTATTAGTTGCTTACTTTGCATTGTTATATCACAACACGAGCGCTTTACTTTTACAAAATGCGCAGGACCTGATAAGAATTTCTTTAAAAAAAAATTTCAAAAAATGGTGGTTTTCATCACTATGCCACCAAGTTTAGATTTGGAAATCAAGCGATGATTCCCAAAACTTCTGGATTCTAACACTCAAATAAGAGTAAGTTCTCTGCAATAAGTCTACAGAAAATTCAGGCTGATTTGCTAATCCTTCGCGCTTTTTATAATAATCCTAAAAGTATCTATACGAATTGTAGTAAACTGTAGAAATATCGGACTAACTATGAAATGCTGGAGATGTTTGCAATTAGCTCGGTGCATTACAAAATGCCAGTGACTATTGCAATGAGACAGATTTTCGGATTCCTTTATATAAGTTTAATAAAACAGTTTGTGTCCCATTCATAAGAGTTTTTGACGCAAACAGTAATACGTATCCAACTGAAACAAAATGTCAATTTTAAGCAGTTGTTGAAAATAAATTTTCAAGACTTTGCATTGAGACTAATGTGACACTTTTAAACAAACAAACAAACAAAAAAACGCTAGTCCCAACGCTAGTTTTGGAGAATTGCTTTAAAACAAGCACACTTTTCTTGCAGTTATATACATAATAATTATTTGCATCATAAACTTTCATGAAAAAATTATTTTATTTTTTGAAATACTTTTATTAATAAATTTGTCAAAACAATCTGAAAAGACTTCAGTTACTATGAAATGGACATTTATTCCTTTTCTCAACTGTATGAGCAAAGGTTTCAATAGTTTCATAGGCATTTAGCACAGCAAAAGAAATTGTCAAAAAAAAAAATAAACTGCATGAATATACTTAAAATTAGGTTCTGTGTTTCAAATAACTATTTCTTTAAGTTTATGTCATTGAAAAATTTTCCTAGAAATACGCATTTTTAAATTTCTAATTTTTCATAACATGTGTTAGCGAATCGACACGTGACAGCGAATCGACCGTGTTTTCCTTAAAGTTCAAATGAATTGTTGTACTCATTAAATTGAGTCATGTGATCAGTTGCATTTGTAAAATAGAACCGAATGAACGGTATAAGCAAATACAACTTATGAGTATTAGTGGCTTAAAATATATTGAAAATAGTAGGAACAAAAAGAATTATAATTAAAACTGTGTGTGCATAATCTCTCAATTACAAATCTCAATATTTTAATTTGTCATTTTCCGAAATTAATTTTCATGAAATAATTTGTATAGGATGTTGAACAAATCATGTCAGACCATAAATTAGTTGATTATTGACTTACTAAATAAAATATAATAACAGTTTTTCTTTTCAGAAAATAAAAAACTATAGCTTCCTATTCTTAACATTATTTGCTTAATTTTTTATACATTCTAAGTCTTAACAAGGTAGTAATTAAAGGTAATTTCCAGGATTTCAGCATTTGTTTCAACGATTTTTTTGAAAGAATATTTTGAGTCCTTAGTGTATTATTTTGTTTGTGTGTATCCTTAGTTTGGGGATTTAAGCCATTTCTATTGAACCTTTTTTTCCGGAGAAAAGCAATACTGTTAACACACAAATTTGCGCCAAGAATCAATTCCCTTTGGTTTGTTTGGTATCTTTTAATTCCAAAACAATGTAATCAGATTTTATGATCCAAAATTTTACCGTCTGTAGCTTTCAAATGTAAATTCAAAACTTATTTACCTATACCATCACTATCAGAAAACGTGGTAAGTAACTGATGAAAAAAGGAAACAGAATTCAAATTAAACATTTCTTTACTAGCAATTTTGGCTCAGCTATTTGTAATTGCAAAAACTGTTAAGAATATCTAATTCTGTAAAAATTAATTTGGAAGAAATGGTTAATCCACTATTTTTAAATTTATAATTTTCCACAAAACATCAATTTCATATTCACATGAATAGTTTCGAATCAGTATACAATTTTTACCACAAAATTTCATAATGTAAGAAATATCTTGCCAAAGCAGGAAATATATTTATCAAAAATTGCATGAATCGTCCTTAGACAATTCGGAACTGTTTTATTTATTGTTAGTAACAAGATTTGGCATTAATTAACCTAACCTAATTATTTTAAGTACCATTTTATAGAACGTTCCATATTAAGTCTGTGTCCTGCTTGTTTCACTCCCAGACCCATGAGATCATTATTGTCCATATTTGCTAATTTAGAACCTGTTATTCCAGCCTCAGCAAACGTTATTTTGTATTCCGGTAAGAACAGACTCTCCAGCCAATCAGCAACGTCCTTCATATTCCATTGGTGCAAAGGTTTCTGCCTGAATTCCTTATGCTGAGGTATCGGTGGTATATTTCCTAACGGTGGACCTATTTGTGGTGCGTCTCTACTTGTTCTGCCTGGTGAGAAAGCATGCTGTTGCTGTTGATGTGTCTGAAGATGTTGCTGTTGCTGATGCGTTTGAAGATGCTGCTGTTGCGCCTGATGATGTTGCTGTTGTTGCGGATGTTGTTGTGGATGTTGTTGTGGATGCTGTTGAGGATGCTGTTGAGGATGTTGTGATTGCGGCCGATGATGTGGTGCGGCATGCTGCTGGAGGGCTTGAGGATTCACCATCATTCTAGACCCCGGGTGTGGTAACGTATTGCAGTTGCTTTCGTGACGTACCTGCTGGTGGGGAGGAACCATGTGATGGGTAGGATAACCACTACGTGACAGAGTCATGGTTTTCGTGGGCGAAGCTGTTATATTATTGGGGATCATATTATGCGGGTGATGGTGCATAGGATGGTGTAAATGGTCCTGTGGCGACTGCATCGAAGGGTGATAGCCTCTATATAAATGTTCGGGATATGGGTAATTCGCGGTGTCTGGAGGCACTACACGGCGACTCACAGGTGCATCCATAGTTGAAATCATATTTTGTTGAGCACGTCGTTGCCTTGCTAGTGATTCATCACTGAATTCTGGTGGTGGAGCGATATGCACTGGTTGTTGAGGGCCAGCTTGACCCGCGTAATTAAATTCTGGTGGCGGAGGAACAAGCTCTGGAATGACCTCAGGTTCGCTGGCTGCAGCCATTCTCAACGAATCCACTTGAAGGCGAATAAGTTGTAAGCTCTTGTCGACTCGCTGGCAAAGTTTAAGACATTCATCGTCTTCGCGTGTCTTGGGGGGAGATACTCTGTTCGGAGCTGGAGCTGCAATTTTCGCATGCCTGTGATCCAGCAGCCTCGCTTGTGCTGACATAGGGCCTGGCACAGCAGATTTTTGCTGCATTAGTTGCTGCTGTATATGAATTTCCTCAAATGTGTCTCGATTTCGGATGTTTGCCATTTGCTCAGCGAGAAACTTTTGCTGCACCTCAAGTGGTATGTTTGGTGGAAAATGAATTTGTTCTAACATATGCTGAGCATTTGGATTTGATAAATAAGCTCCGGGAGGAATTTGTGGCACATTTTTAATTTGATGGGAGTGAGATGGTGGAAGCATTGTGCTCGGTGGGCTGGCTGTTGATTGAGGCAGTACAGGGATTCTGGTTTGCGGGTGGTCCCTATTAGCATGCATCATTGCTTCAGAATGATGCTGATATTTTGCCGCATCACTCTTTGCCATACTTTGCCTATTTAGTGTCATAGTTTCATTAAAATGAGTCGATTCAATATCGTGAAAGTCAAAATCGCGATCAATTTGTTTGCGTCCAAGAGTTTGAGTGCTAAAATTATCGGCCCGACGGCTCATGGCACTCTTTGGAGGGGTGTCTGGCGGCTTTTTGATAGCATTCTCAACGTATTGTGGTATATTTACAGGAGACATTACATCTGGTCTTCTCCACTCATCGTTGAAATTTGTTGAAGCTATTGTCGTTGTGGGAGTTTCCGCAGAGAATCTTGTAACTTGATTATGAGCATCAGAATGCAGCATTGCTGCCGTAAGAGAACTTTCAACATCCAAATCGATGTCTTCCTCAAACGTTTTAGGGCAAGACTTGGATGTTTTCATCGAGGTTGGAGGAGGAACTTTTTCATGCTCGTTTCCTTTCTGTTGAGATCCTACTAAAGTTATACGAATCACATCACTTTTCCTTCTAGGAGAGACATTAGCTTTGTTAGTAGAAAGTTCGTTAGTTCTTTTTTCGAAGTTATAAATATTCTCTTTAACGGAACGGGAAGCAGCGTCGATGTTAGGGGATGCGCTACTCTGTTCATTGGTGTCAATTTTTAGAGTTTTTGAAACATCAATTTCTGCATTCTCGTCTGAGGATTTAGTTTCATCCACTTTGGGCTTTTTAGGTACAGCAGGAGCTACTTTTTGATTCGTTATGCTTTCATCCTGTCTATTGTTTTTCTGATTGTGAACGTCTACGCTGTCGTACGATTTTTCCTTAAATCCCTGCGATGGGGATTTTACAATTCTCTCTCGATTGCTTTCCTTAACTTCCTTTCGTAATGAATCCTCTTTGTTTTTCGTATTTTGCAACTCGTTAGCGCTATGTTGATGAGCAAGTTCTTTATTTTTTATTCTAAATGGTGTTTCCTTAACTTCTTTTCCAACAACTTCAGTTTGTTTGAGAACAATCGTAGCCTTAAATGCAATTGGCTCCTTTGCTGGAGTTCTTGACACGTTTTCTTGGTCAATTTTTTCGTCTTTCGATTGGCTTTGTTTATCAAACGAGTCTCGTATTGTTCTTGGATCAGAAGTTGTTTCGATTGCTTGCTTGTCTTCAGATCTTTTGGGCGGTGGCGTTGGTGCAACCTTTTTAGAGGATTTATCATCTGCATCATTCCTGACTATTATCAATTCGCCAGTTTCTTCTGATTGTAAAATCTCGGACTCTTCTTTGGGTCTTTCTGCCTCTTCAATTTCAGATGGTAGTTTCGAAGAATCAACTGATGTTTGAGACTTAAGCCTCTTCCTTCGTAATGTCATGTTGGAATTGGAGTCAGGCTTTTTATCTGTTGTTTCACCTTGTTCTTTTGGTGGCTCGTTATCGAGAGCTTTGAATGTCACAAGTCCACTTTTAGCATCCGTTCGAGAAGGTGTTTCATCGTCCTCACTGGTGTCGAAATCTGGTTCTGGAATGAAACCTTCGTGTTGTGGAACGGCTGGGTAATGTTTCGGACTAGCAGTTTCAGCTACAGCAGCTGGGAATTTAGAGCCTTGCTGCTTAACCTTCCTCAGGGTTCCTCGACGGTCAGTCTGACCACCTTCTGAACCACCATGTTCCCTGGGTCGGTGAGAGCCCTTGAACGGCATGTAACCGCTGGTTGAATCTCCGCTACTGTTTTCAGCGTCCAGCGATGCCGTGCTACTCCTACCTTCCGGGGCAGGTACGGTTGCAGAGGTGGCATTAGTTTGTATTTTTGGAGGAAGTGATTGGGATCTGGATCCCGTTCCCTTCATTAAATGCCTCGGTAATGTGACGTCGGATCTTTCTTGTCGGTGTTCTTTCTTGTAGCCAACTGTTCCAAAAGCATCCGGCGAGGCATACAATTTGGCACTGTCAGTGGGTCTGAAGCTGGACATGACAGTCGTGGGTTTGTGCTGCCCTCCGGATGTTGTAAGATCAGCATAATCGTTTCGAGGCATCTCCACTTTAACAACCTGACCAACAGGTGGTGGAGGTGGAGGATATGAGGGAGGTGGACAACTGGCTCTTGCAGATTTATCCCCAGACTTGACAACTACGGGCACTGTTTCTGCGTAAATGTCTGAACCATTCTGTTTAATTAAAGAAGGACCTTGTTCCCTGAAATTGAAAAAAAATTCGTTTAACGATTCGAAAAATTACGTGTATGAAATTACATTGTCATAACGGCACTTACAGAAATTTTAATTCTATTAATTTTAAAAAATTGTAACCAAATTCTAAGCATGTTATTTTTCTATTAATGCGATATGCAACTTTTTAGTATATTAAAAAGCTTAATTTACTAAATATCTAAATTTTCAGTTACCGTATTTAGTCACGGTACATTTATTATCATATTTATGGTACAAATTTTCGAAATTGAGTTTATTATAAATATAGAAGCTCTCTAATCTTTGCTTTCTAAAAATACCTTACTTTTGTTTGTTCTCCATTAATTTACAGTGTTATAGAAGTTTTTGTGTAAGGTATTGACAGTGGATACACTAATTGAAAGTCTTTAATTGTGTTTGACTTAAAATCAGTTTTAACCCCATTTTAAACCACCTTAAACACTATATCTCCTGTTGTTTTTAAAATAGTTGTCTTTAATTTTTATGAGTGTTTCTGATTATACTACGCATGTTTTAAACTACAAACTTAGAGAAAAAATTAGATATGATTACATATTAAGATAAGTATGAAAATGTTACAAAAAACTTGCTTTTTTTGATTAAATTGACCCCTAACTCGGCTGTATATGCACTTGCTTTTAAGATAATAGTTCAAAACATAGTTGATAATCTTATAAATAAAATCCTCAAATGATTTTTTTTTGTTTTGGAAGATAAGAATTTTTTCAGTGTTTAGCGTACATGCAAACATACTTAATTTTTACCTAAAAATGGCAATTTTTTAAAACAAAAACTAAAATAAGATAATACTAAATTTTTTTGCTAGTTTCTTAAGTTTTTACACATAATAAAACAAACTAGTTTTTAAAAATTTTATATTAATAATTTTAAAAAAAAGTTGTTGAAACTAATCGGATACCTTAATTTTACTGGTTGATACAATCTGTATTTTATTAACACTTTATATACTTTACACCATTATAAACGTTACTATGGGAAACAATTAAAGCGAATTTCCGAAGCAGAAAAAAAATAAATGATCGACGGCAAATACCTTGAACCATCTGGTACGGAGTGTTGTCGCAGTATGTCGCGGCGTTTATGCCTGTGTTCTTTTCCACCTGCGTTCTTAGAACTGGAATGTCTTCCAGAATGTCTACCATGCAAATCGCTAAGACTTCGACTTCTCTTTGGTAAGAAAGAGACTTCGATTTCCGGATCCGGATGGGTTAGCTCTGGATTACTGCTGTAATTCTTTGGCAACCTGAAAGATTGAAATTCTAAATATAATCCTTTGTAGTCGAATTAAATTTACCGATCATTTTCATACTGGTCGGCATACCATGGACGAATATAATATGCAGGGCAAACGACGAAAAAAAATTTAAGACGGAATAAAGCTCTTAAACACAATTTGTAAAGTATTATGTTTAATTTTATAAATTGCAAAAGCGTATCGATTATAGTGATTGGCGAACAGCTTTAACTTCTTCCCTCTCACTTCCGTCAAAATTACTGGGTGAACTTTCATCTCCTATTTTTCGTGCCCATGATATTTCCGGGGTAGACTGCTCAAAAGTAATGCACCAAAAAGGTTTCCTTTTCTCTTTAATTTCTTCCTCTAGATTCCTTTCTAATTTCTTATTTTGCACATAGATGGCTGCGCCAGACTTTTTTTAATATAACTTGCCGATAGTTTATTTCAACACTATTCAAATATATGTAATTGTGTTATGTATTTCGTACTCTTATCTCAGCTATTTATGCTCCTTGTGAACACACGTTGTTTGTGTTCTGAGATAAAATATTTTATGATATTGTTTACATTATGGAGTCAGATTTATATAGACATATGGAGTATGTATGGAGTTTTAAATTTCGAGATAAAAAAATGCAAAGAACCAAAAATGCAACATTTTTAATGTTCTTTCCTTGATTAAAAAATAGGCACTTTTGTGACCGGTTTTGTGAAAATAATACGACTGATAAGGGGCTTAAGATTAGTATGGCTCTTTGGTAATGGTGCATAAGAGTAGGTAGACATTGAACACAAAGGTTGAATTATCCAAGTTGGAACTATCTTGAAGCTTCATCTTATGAACTGGCTTTAGATTATTGATATTTTACTAGTTTTTTTTTCACTTTTCACCCTGTATTATAGTTGATTCGATTTAAGGAAGTTCCTTTTTTTCACTTTCCAATTTTGAATATTAAAATGGAAACATGATGTGCATATTTTTATTGTTCGGTTCTCAAGACGATGATAAAACCCTTTGAAAAAAAAGCCATTACTGAATTATTGTGCATATTTCATAGACAAATGTTTTACACATTACTCATTTGTATCACATGATTTTAAATTTTTATTTATTTATTCGTATGCTTATGTTTTTATATTTATTTACCTTTATCTTTTTAGTTGCAATGTTATATTTGATTCTATAAGGGTTGCTGGCAGAGCGGTGGGGGATTTTATGTATAAATGTCTTACACATTACCCAAATGCATCATATTATTTTAATTTTTTTTCATTTATTTGTATGCTTATATTTTTTATTTATTTACCTATATCTCTTTTGTTGCAGTGTTGCATTTGATTGTATTAGGGTTAAGGTCGGTTGATTGTTATTTTTTTAAAAAAAATCAAAATCATCTGAGGTGGGAAAAATTGTGAATTGACACCAAATATTTGTATTTTTTAAGCACAATATAAATTAAATTTCCCCACCAGGCACTTCAGATTTCCCTACCTTTCATAAGCTATATTGCTTTTATTCGTTTACTTATTTATTTTTTTAAGTTTCATGTATGAAAGTTTTTAAGCGCTTATTATTTCAAATTATATTTACTGCCCCTTACCGGCCTTCAAATTTCAATAATTAGCAGAATTTTATTATTTTAATCCTCTACAGCTGAGTTTTTATTATACATATTTTTAAAAATTTGAAACATCTGTATTTTTTATTTTTATTATTAAACCACAGAATTGTTTAGGATTAAAATTAAATATAAAAACATTAAGTCCCATAGAACTGTCAATTTGCCATGTGCACTATAGTATTGCTGTTGTAGCCGGCCATTAAACAGATGGGATGCAAGTGTTCTTGTTTCGCAGTGGCGCCATCTATGACCGTGAATTCGACTTCTGCAACACGTTGCACCCTTCTTTAGGGCGGACCCATTCATACATCCATTCATTCATCCACAGATCGTAATTTTGACCTGAACCAAAGAAAGATCAATCTCCAATTCAGTGCCCCCAGAGGTATAATTTGTTATGGAACTATGGAGGACTTTGTGAACCAACAAGTTCAACGTGTACCAGTCACTATTTACTACAATTAGAGTCTTCGGCCGGCAGGATTAAAATTTCCGTTTTCACGCCCTGCCAACCAGGCTATCGCTACCCCCGTCATAGTATTAAAGCAGTTATTTACTTATTTTTCCGAAACTATGGCAAGTTTGCTCAGACTCACGAGGAAATGTCTGCAATGAAATTTCACCTCCATCCAAACTCCTAAACAAAGTTTTAATCCTAAAAAATTCTGTAGTGTTACTGTAGAAAATAAAAGAAGTTAAAAAATTACTCTAATTTTCAAAAATATGTTTAATATAAACTCAAAATTGTGGAAATTATGCAAATTTCAAAGGCATTGAGGGACTAGTAAATATAATACGGTACAATGATATTTTTTTCCACAAATTAAAGATTTTGTTTAGCAAATATTTTCACTGAAATTGCTTAATTTTTTGTACATAATTACAGAATAAATAAAAAAAAGGTACATGTTATAAAACTAGAAAACTTTCAAGTACCTGAAGGGAAGAATAAATATATTTTGATTTCAATTTTTTTTTTTAATAAACATTTGATACTAAAACAGAACTTTTCTAACCACAGACTATTTCCGTTTAAAATGAATAAATAAAAATCGACCAGCATTATTACTGGCCTTCAAAATGGCGCATTAATTTTGTAACGTTTCATTTTTATAATTCTAGAACATGGACTAATATAGAGGACATTAGTCAGGATGTATATTCCTTAGAAATAATTTATATTGGAAACAAATGTCGCCAAATAGTTACCTGAAGTCGCCATCCGTTTTGTGCTTTGACCTCCTGTGGTGTTTCACTTTATGGATTCGAGCTATTGTGGCGTATCTGTTCTTGATAATTCCGTGGTGCATGTTCACGGATAGGTGTCTCGCAAAGAAATCTTCCATTTCAGTCGCACTCACGTGATGAGCAGATGATCGAGATTTGGCGCCTGCCATTGTGTGGTTCGTGGATGTTGGCGTAGTTGTGGCAGTGGTTGGCGTTGTGGTGGCAGTACTGTCTGGCGTAGCGCTACTACTCGGTTTGTTAGGAATACTTTCGATTGAGCTACTTTTGGTAGAACGACCTTCTGAGTCATACTCATTCAGAGTATGATCCAGAACTTCTGCGGAAAAAAAAAGAAAAATCAAATATTGACGTGAAAGTGACTGAAAATTTAAAATTATTTTAGGAATACTGTACAAAAACAACATATAAATAAGAATTCCTTTACTTATGGTTAGAGCCCGGATTTTGATGACCTAAAAAATCCCAATTAATGCCCTTAAAAAGTGCAAAAAATGCCCTTATAAAGTGCGAAAAATGCCCTTAAAAATGCGAAAATTGCGCTAAAAATGCCTTATGACATGACTTAAATAAATTAAAAATATTGAACTAAAACAATGTTTTATTTAAAATTATGAGTCATTTCAAGAAATATAAAGCAATGCAATACTTGTTCTACGTTTATTAAAATTTGAAAAATTTGTTTTATATCCTAAAATAACAACAAAAAAAGGAAAATATATTGACTCCAAAACATTTTCATTTTGTATAGAAACTTTAATGAATATAACAACTTCCATCTCATAATATTACTAAATATCAGAATTACATTGGATTATAATTTTTTTTGTTGATATTTTGAAATGTAAACGAGCGTCTCTTGTCTGAAAGTAAATTATTATACCTGGAGAAGCTTCTTTCAACGTCTACTGATGTTATTGGCGCGTACTTGAAAAAGACGGTCTCACTTACTGGCAATTCTTCTTCAATTTGAAAAGATGTTGCTTTACCTGTTAATATCCTAGAGATTTTCTTCACTGTTTGGAAGCCAGTGTAATCATACAAAATGATAAAAAAAAGTAGTAAAAATTGGAAAAAATTAACAAAAAATTTAAAAAAATGTTTTAAAATGCAAAATAAGCCAAAAAATTTAATGAAAAATGCCCTATAAATCTAAAAAAATGCTCCAAAGGACAAAAAATGTCCAAAAATGCAAAAAATGAAAAAAAATGCAAATGTCATCAAAATCCGGGCCTTACTTATGGTACTTATATGAGAGACAATCTGGTTGAGTATTTTTAAAACTTATATTTAAATTTATAATTCAGTTTGACAACATTGTGAATGTTATCAAATTTCTGTAATCAGTCACTTAAAAATTATTTTCTGAAATTCATTTTTATTGCGGCACGATTTTCGCCATTTATTTTTGGACTGACAAAAAAATATACTATTTGTAATTGGATACCTGCATGCGACGTCATAGTAATTAATCCGTGGCATTCGTTTATGCCATGATATAGCAGCCAATCAGGTTCGACGAACACGTGTGACGCCGTTTATAGGTATCCAATGAAGATTGATCTAAAAATTGACACAACGTAATAATTAACTAAGCCTAATCACTTTAACGTAAACCAGCCACGCACAGAAATTCCACAGTTAGGCCTAATCATACATTCTTTTTCTCGAGTTGCGAGCATCCAATTGTTCTGATTTCAGGTTCCAGATCTAATTTTTTTGGAATTTGTCTTCCAAATTAAATATGAAGGGTATCAGCATCAACAACCTCAACAGTACACTATGAGTTTAAAAAAATTTTAAAAACTCCTTGAGATTTTGGAAGAAAAAATTGCTTGCATACAGTTTACAAGGAAACACGTATTTTCTTTTAGACAGTTATTTTTCACAACTATTCTTATTGCTTAGCTTCGAGATTAATCAAATTGCCTCCAACTCATCTGTTCTTGAATTGTAATAAGATTTGTCACAATGGAAGAATTTTAGACTAGCACACAAAGAATGTTTTTTACATTTTTATTTTCAAGCTTTTTGGAGCAAATGCTCGCAGTTAACTTCCTTAGTTTTTTACTGTATGAAGGCAGTTTTTCTTAAGATCTTAGCAGTTATACAGCGGTCGAGAGTAAAAAACTTTTTTATAAACTAGTAGAAGAATATTTTATAATCTACTCACCTATTTATGTCCTTTAAACATTAATTTTAACTAGGAAAAATTGGTAAAAAAAAATTTATAGTTAAAATTCCCTAAAATTTTAAATTTTTTATTTTACCTTGATCCATGATGATGAAAAATAATAAGTTCTTACTTTGTTAGAAAAACCTAACATTAAAAGTCATAACGTAACGTCTTTTAGTTAAATGATTAGAATGATGTGGAAGAACAGCTATGACCAAAAAAGTGTATTATTTTTAGACTTTTTGCAGATTTTTTTTCTCCATATTAGACCTCTGAACAACGTCTCTTTCTAACTCTATGTTTGTTTTCAAAGATGCAATGGGATACCTGCATGTGACATTGTGTGGGTACCTCGAATCTGATTGGTTGTTGAAACGTGAAATTTGTTTACATTAGCAACGGTTCTTTCGATGCTATACAAGAGTAATATGCATATAACTTTTAATGAAACATATGTAACATAAAATATTATAATAAAGATATTGGATACACATTGCAGATTAAATCTTAATGAGACGTTTCAAACATATAACTTTTTCATAAATAAATATATGTGAAAAAGCAGATATATTGAATAAATATAAAAATAAACTGACTAAATAAACGTATTAGAACGAAAAGATTAAAGAAACGTACTTATTAAATATTTATCAGAAAATATTTATTAAATGAAAGCAAAAAAAACATGCATTTGAAACATTCATATAAAAATTTTAAATTCTCCAAAAAAAAAAAGGACCATCTAGAATAAATTTGATCTAATGATCGGATCTTCACATTCTAAGAATCAATCTTAATGATTCGAGGGGGTGACCTAAAACATGCTAATTAATAAGTGCAGACGATATTACAAGTTAAGAAATCAGACACAAAAACGCTCCAAGATATGGTGGGTAGTCTCAATCTCGGAAACATAGTCCCCATAGTTTGTGCAGATCACCCTATCTCACTCACTTTTTAAACGAATTAAAAAAAAATTTCATACAATTATAAAATTCGCAAATATTCACATAAACATTTATTAAATATTTATTAAAAAAATATGTATTAAAAATTTAGTAAATATTTATTCTTCTTTATTATTTTATTTAATAATGGTCGAAACAGTTTTTGATCGTATGGTCTACAATTTATTACATCATTTTAAAGTATCTAATTCTACCTGGAAAAATACGTAATTTGGTTGAATAGCTTTTGAGAAATATAATTAGAAATATACGACTTTTCTAAAATTTAATTTCTCAGGAACTATTCAACCAATTTAGATCAAATTTTGTATTTTGCCTTGTAAAATTAGATAATTTAAAATGACGAGAAAAATTTTATACCTTACTATTGAAAACTTTTTCGGCTATTATTAAATAAAATAATACAAAATTACAAATGTTTACTAAAGTTTATTTTTTGCGTGGAATTATTCTTGGAAAAACTAATTTTATCAGTCTGTGCTTATTAATTCGCGTAAAATGTGCTCGAGATAGGGCGAAATAGTGAAAACACAAAAGTAAAATTAACATTCAGGGATCCAAACTTTGGATCACTCTCCTGACCAAACTATGGGGATCACATTTCCCAGATCGGGGTTGCCCCCTCCCCTTATTTTGGGGATCAAAAATTCGAATCCATTAAAAATAGGCATGTTTATCCAGATAAAATAAGTTTTCGTGTCAAATTTCGTAACTTACAATATCGTCTGCACTTATTATTAGCATGTTTGAGGTCACCCCCTCGAACCACTAAGACTGAGTCCTGGAATGTGAAGATTCGATCATTAGATTAAATTTATTCTGAGTGATGGTCTTTTTTTTTTGGCGTACGGTACATCTTAAAAAATTAACAAATGTCTTTTAAAGTATATAAGCTTCTCAGGAGACGTTTCCAACATTCAGTTTTTTTAAAAAAAATATACATCAAAACATATTTATTAAATAGATATATGTGAATAAACTGACTGAATAAGCATATTAGAAAAAAGTTAAAAAAAAGTGCAGATTAAATATTTATCAGAGAATATTGTTTAAATGAACACATAAAAATATGAATCTGAAACAAATATATAAAAATGCTTGTCTTAAAAAAAATTTAAAAATGCATTGTGTACATGAAACCTTTCTGAATAACTCTTGATTTAATGATCCCATTTTCACGCACTTAGAAACAATATTATTCATCAAATTCATCAATCAAAGCAGACAATTTAAATATTCTACATTTGCAGTGCATGGGGCATATCTTGCACCTTCACGGAATAAACATGCCTTCTTTAGAAAGAAGAACAACATTATATATTTAAAAAACCAACTTAAGAGGTCAGATCTTTCGACCATTTTTTAAATGCAGCTTTTTGACCAATTGTTGCAAAATATTAAGAAGAAATGTCTCTAATGGGTCTCCGCAATCTGAAAAATTAGATTTTTATAATTTAGATCAACAGAGTGGACGAGAGTGTGAATTTCATCATAAGAGTTTTAAAAAATTGAATTCTGAGAAAAAAATGAATAATTGAATTTGTGCCTGATATCGTTATTTATAATATCGTCTGAACATACACGTGACTCCTTAAATCATTGAGGTTGCAACGTAGTATTTTATTTTATAATTTTATAAACGTCATTGAGCAGTCGATCCAATTTTTGGGTTTACGACTACTAATGTTCAACTACGTAGCCTTGTAATTTTGAATCCAATTCAGAAGACAAGGGAACTCTTGGATCAAGTATTAGTTGAAATCTGCCTTCGTGGAGGACTTTTTGATGGAACTAACCCGCATTTCCTTTACACGGAGAGGAAAACCGCGAAAACCACCCATGGTTAACTTGACGGCAAGAGGACTCCAACCCATGATCCGTCTACCACTGAGGATATTTTTACGTCGGCACTGTGAAGAATGCAAGTTGGGTGCGGAATTCGAATCGACCAGTCATCACGGGGATCCGAACCTTGTTCACCTCATTGGAAGACGAACTGAGCTCCTCTTATCTCTCTCGGCTCTGGCCATCAAATCAAAATTTATTCAGCTTGTTGAGTAACTTACCGATCTCCGCAAGACCTGCTACCATAGATCGCGCTCTTGCTCGACCAACGGACAGAGTCGTTTTTGGATCACGTTTCGGAGGCAGAGGCGCTGAAAAATAAATGCACATCACATTACAGTATAAAAATAATGTATACTCATTTATACACTTTAAAGTGTTGATTTGTTTTCATTAATGTACTTTGCGATTCCTCCTGTACATGTACTATATTATTTAAAAGGCTAGCCTGATGAAGGTTAGAAACAACATTTTAATGATGTTTATCAAATTAGCTTTTAAGTTAAAGGGAAGCTAGTTTAAAAACTCTTCATGTCAATTCTGTTTCACTTTGACTGGCATTTAAAAATTTAAAATTTAGAGAAAGTGAGTTCAGGTTATCTTAAAATAAGCAATAAAATTCCAAATGGCAAAAATGCTACAAAATATCAAAATGCAAATAAATTATTGCAGAATTTAGGATTACGCGCTGAGGAATTTGAAATCTCATAGTTAATTGTAAGCTTTCATGAACTCGTTTTTGTCCAAACTTTAGATTTTAAAGTACCAATAGAAGTAAAAGAGACTTTGCCATGAAAAATTTCTCCCGAGGTGCAGCGTCCCTTTCCATGAAAAAAAATGCATCTCGTTATTATTTCTGATCAGCAAACTTTCAATCGGCGAAATTTGTTAATTCTAACCCTTCGTTAAACTGTTCACTGCCAAATGTGAACCGAATCTGCTTTTTAGCTTGCTACGGAAAGAGAGGTAGCCGTCGACTGTCTGTTGCTAAATGACTTCAGAAAATTCTTCCTTGCCATACAAATCTTAAAATTGTCATAGTACCTTCCTGTACCGAAATGGACTGAGGAAAGAAGATGGTTGAGGCAAAGGACTTTGCTTAGGAGAGATCAGAGTTCGATCCTCAAAATCGTAAACACGGAAAGAGTACATGCGATATATGTTTTCATGAAAAAAATCTGTGGAATCGAAAGTCATGTGATCACTCGCTGGACAGTATTAGGGGTACAAGTATCAGAAGGAAATATTCCATTCAGATATATATCTAAATTGCAGAAATGGTTTCTCGAATGGGTGGTGCTGCCATCTATCCAGGGGAAACTGTGCTAAGCTGCACTTTCACCCTAGCGATGCTCTTTTATCAAACAAATGGCGTTCCTTCGTGACTTAATTTTCAAAGCAAAAGGCTGGTGAGCTTGGCATGCGAAGCTAGAAACAACAAAATTTATCAAAATTCGAAGATTTGAGCAACATAAATCAGTGCTGTATATATAGGACAAAATGAATTACCTAAAAAATTCAATTTTTTAAAAAAAAATTTGCACAAAGTATTCTTTTAATTGCATCACGCTTTATAAGAAACTATTGTAATAGTTTGTTCAAATTAACTACATGTTTTTTAATAACACCCAACAGAATTTAAATGATCATGAGAATTGTTACTCATGATCATGCGATTCTTACTTCACAGCCCATGATATTTTATTTATAAAACAAGTTTCTCAGACTCTAGCGGACTAAGATCACATTTACGCTATCTCAATACGATACTCGTATTAGTACCTATGCGTCCTATTTAGTACGTATATTCTCGTAGTATGCTAGTCTATAGGAGTTAAAAGCAAATGTATATGAAAAGAGAAATGCAATTGATGTTACAGACAATTCACGTCAAACAATGTTTAAAGTTAATCTGTAATCAGCAGAAATTTTAAAAAACATTAAAATATACTGTGTAAAATTTTAATATATTTAAAATTTAGCAATATTCAGTATATCAAAAAAAATTGGTTTCAAGCATTTTAAAAAGGTATGCATAAATTTTCATTGTTTCACAAAGTTTGGGAGGAAACATTCATGACTAAAAGAAAATTTTTTAAATATTTTCTTTACAGATTGTAACACTGTGACAAAAGGTTTCTAAAACTAGTAAAAAAAGCATTGAATATTAACAACACAACAAAACTACTTTGAATCTGAGCAACACAGAGTATTATCATTTTTTTAATAATATTTCAATAGATATGATGTACAAATCATTGAAACAAATTTAAAAAACAACGAAATACAAGTAAAAGCACAAAGTTTTAACTGTTAAAAGAAAACTCCATAAACTTTAGCCCTCAAATGTAGAATTTATAATTAAGCAAATCTTTTCATTATTTTGTGTTAATTTAGGTCAAAATAAATGAAAAATATTATATTTATCAATTTAATTATTTATGGTTAGGAAATATGTCATAAAATATCAGTGTATTCTTCTGTGTAAAATGTAAAATCTTCCGAAGACGGCACACTTCCAAACAATATTTTTTTCAAATTTGCAGTTATTTAGATCTAAGACAAACAATTATTCATCATTCAAGTTTCATTAATTTACAGAATCAATTATTGATAAATTTAGAACAAACGTAATTCCGAATAATTTATAGTAACTATTAGACTGTTTTTTTATAAATATAACATAGCAAAAAAATATTTTTATTTCTAAATGGATTTCTAAATATATAAAAGAGACACCAGTGTCTCATCATCAGTCAAAGCGAAAAAAAAAGATAAGTAAGCATTCGTATAGTAATAAAGTATCTGACCCGAAGTTAAAAAACTCGGCTATTTTTGAGCGATTTGAGAAATCGGTTTAGTGGTTGGAAATACATTTACTACACTGTTAGAAATTTTGGATAGCCTTAAAACCTAACGTTGTTCAAAATTTTCATTAATATTAAAATTATTCGAAGTTGATCCATGAAATCTTACATGTTCAAATTGATGACACGTTGTTATAGTTCGACGTGAACTGAAACATGATTTGATTTAACTCCTTATTTAAAATGTAACAAAGTTGCAGGATGTTATGAATTGATTTAACACCTCATTTAAGAGGCAACAAATTTGCATGCTGTTCAACGTTAAACCGAAACGATGTTCAAGATGTTATTTAAGATGTATTATATTTGCACGATGTCATAGTTTAATGTTGAACTGAGACACGATTCAATTCGACACCTTATTTAAGATGTAAAAACTTTGCACGATGTAATGGCTCAACGTTGATCCGAAACGCGATTTGATTCAACACCTTAAGATGCAGAAAATTTGCCCGATGTTATGGCTAAACGTTTTAAGATTGTAACATCCGATTGATCAGTACCTTTTTTGGTGGATAGTTTCCGTGGAAGAGTGGCGCACTGCCTGTTGATCAATTGTGGTTTTTCTGTTTGTGGAAGAGTTGCCGCACACTGTTGGATCACAGTGACCACCGTCATGGAGACAAGGTCACCCGATTGTCGAATGATGGCGACAACTTTCTCATGGGAAGCTTGCGAGACATCCTGTCCATTTATCTGAAACAGGACAACGGATAGTTAAAATTTAGACCTTTATAATATAACAATTACCTATGATATCAACTATAGCACATAATTACAAATGATACCAATTATAACATGTAATTTCAAATGATACCAAGATTAAGAGATCTAGATGGTTTTGATTTCGTCGAAAAAGCATTAGTGTACAACTTTTTTCAAAATTTCTATAATTTATTAAAGATAGATCGGAGGTTGTGAAGGAGAAATCTTCAGAGAGAAATTCTTATCCCACAATGGGCTGTCTGGCTAACTATGATGATGATAATATTTTATCTAAAAGTTATATTAGGATTCTGAATTTTTCGTGGGTATTTCCATTGAATATTTTTAATACTTTTTTTCATTATTTTGTATTAATTTCGATCAAAATAATTGAAAATATTATATTTAGCGTTATTAATAAACTGGTGTCCAATTTTTGCGTTAAGGTTAAAATCTTCCAAACACAGCTTACTTCCAAGCAATAAATTTTTCAAAAGTGCACTTATTAGCAATCATTTAGATCTAAATAAACAGTTAATCATCACTGAAATTTCGTTAATTTACGAAATCAATTATTGATGAATTTTTAAGTGTGGATGAAAAAAAAATTCAAATTACATTTTTTAAAATTTATTTTATGTACAAATATAATTCCAATAACCTAACAGATTATTTTCAGTAAATATTATACTGTTTCTTATAATTAAAAAAATACCAAAGTATATTTTTACTTCCAATTACAGCGTCAGAAAAAAATATATAAAAAGAAACACCGGTGTTCCATCTCCGTCAAAGGGTTACATGAGCATAGAGATTATTTAAATGCAAGCACTTTCATCATGCATATCGCAAAAAAGTTACACAATAGGATACCTGCAAGTGATATATTGCGGGTATCTCGATCCTAATTGATTATTGAAAGGTGGCATTTGTATATAGATGATCTTTCGATCTTATAGATGATCTTTCCATTCTATTTTGAGTAAACAAAGTCTTGCAAGCATCAATTCTCTTAAGTGACACATTCTATATGCTTTCATAAAGATTATTTCACAAAGATTTCAATTCTTTCATTAGCTATTTCTTACTTCACACAAAGACGGCAGACCATAAACAAATCTATGCTCATCCAGCGAATGTAAATTTTGTATGACTACTACTGCCCTAAAAATATGCATAAATGTTGTTAATTTTGTTGCAGGCTCTGTTCTTGTCAGGTTTCTCATCTTTTGGATTTGAATAAAAGTTCGCTTACACGAGTACCCCATCAGATTGGGTTGAGTTAAACTTATCGTTTTTCTCGAAAACTTTCACCAAACCATTTTTTTAATGATATAATGTATAATGTTTCAAACTAAAATTTACCATTAATTATACCTATCACAACTAGAAACATAGAATGTACCATAGTGACCATCCCTTAATATATACCGTATAAATACCGTATATATACTTATAAAAATATTATTTGTATTTAAGTCCCTCAGTATACAAACCGAGTGTAAACTTTTTCTTTTAAAATTCAATGTAAATTCAAAATCCATATATGAGCAGACGCAAGAAGAAAATTTTTTTAAAATTAATTTAGGTATGTTATATTTGTAGATAAATTTTAACTTCTCTATTGCCATTACCTTGTCATCTTTGTTTATAAACTTTAGTCCCCCCCCTTCTTTTTCCCAAGTCTTTCAACTAACCTATCCAGATTGACATCATCAGCAATTCAATTTGGCAGAGAGCTAGAGTAAATCAGACGCTAACAGCGAGAGCCTGAATTCTGAAGCTATCTGAATTTTTTTATTCGTTTGCTGTTATAAACGCTTACAGTTTTATAAAGAACAATGACTGGTAAAAAAATATTCCTTTCCTATTATAATTTTTATGTGCTTCATTTTCAATTGGTATTTTGCTTGTTTCATTGTCAGCTGTCATTGTAAGTATTTAAATGATTCGTTCTTTTATGATTTTTAGCTATCTACCACCAATGTTCAATCAAGGAAAAAGTATAGTTGTCTAATTATATTTTTAAGAAAAATAAGTAAATGATACTTAGTTTAAAGGTCGGAAAGCAATGTTTAAGTAAAACGTGAAACAAAATACTTATTTATGATCTGATGAACACTTAGCAATGTCAATTAGCGTAAAAATAGGTTAAAAATGAGAATAAAAACTTTTCAGTTGTCTAGAAGACCTGATTGACAGGGCGCCGGACTCACATTTGGGAAAACGGGAGTTAAACTTTAGCCGGGCGAAAACTCCCCACGTAGTAAATGGTGACCGGTGCTTGTTAAATCTGACAGGTCACAAAGTCCTCCATGCTCTCATAACGAATTATACCCCTGAGAGTACTGAATTGGAGATTGATCATTCTCTCATGTGGATGAATGAATGGATGTATGATTGGGTCTGCCCTACAAACGGGTGTGACGTATGGGTATGGCAGAAGTCGAATTCTTGGACATAGATGGCTACACTGGAAAACAAGAACAATCGCCTCCCCTCTGCTTTAATGGCCGAAACAACTGTTCATTTGTCTAGAAGGCCTGGAAAGAATTTTACTTTTCAGCAATGGTCTCATGAGCTGCTTTTCGCAGATCAGTCTCGATAATAATTCCTCCGAATTAAACAACGTTTTTTTTAAAAAACATTTTTCGGTGCTGTGAACATATATGAACAGCTGTGAACATCTATGAACATTTGTAGAACTGTGTTTCTTACAACAACAAAATACATATTGTGGGCAGTTACATATCATTACCTCAAGCAAAAAATCTCCCTTTTTTAAACCAGCCATTTCTGCTACACCTCCTTTGTCTACGTCATCTAAATACTGCAAACTAGGCCAGAACTCAGTAGGCTGCCTCTCCATAAGGGGACTGGTAGCTGAAAATCAAATAATAAATTTAAAATGAAAAGTTTTCATAAAAATATCTATAGAAAGATGATTAAGTAAAGCACAAACATAAGTTGTTGGACAATATTTTGAGACGAATTATACAGGATGTGCCCTATCTTAACTTTCAAACTACCTAAATCTATAGTTTTAAAAATGGTGTCTAGTCATGTGCGATATGAGACTGCTTATAGCACCACCTGGTGGAAGATTATGGAGTTAGCTCTCCAGTCTCCTGCTCGAGAACTGTGATTATTACGATAGGGTATGATTCACATACATCTCAATTTTCGTGTTTTGAAAATAAAGGTATCTTAAAGAGTATTGATTCTTCAATAATATTGGAGTACCGCTAATAACATCCATATATTTTTGATAACGTCTGCATAATAAGAATTTCGTTCTTAAAAAAAGAATTTTTAAATTTCAAATTATAATTATAATTGTTTCATTAAGCTTTAAGCTTTCCTAAGAAAAATCCATGTTCTGCTAATTTATGACAAAATTTAGTGTTTAAAGAAGCGGGTCTCCATAAATGTAGCACGCCAAAAAAGTGGGTCATCATGTACAATTATCGCCATTTATAGTTTACAACATATATAGTTGTTACCGTGAATGATCGAAATCAAGAGAATGTCGACTTTTACAGGTGAATGTCAACAATCACATAGTCGCTTTGGTGAATGCCCGAAATATTTGTAATATCCGATTTGATATTAATTTATTTGTTGATATTATTATATATATTCGATAGTTTAATATCTTCTGAGGATAGATTAGATGAGACATCAGTGTTCGGAGTATCAGTTAAATACATACTGGGCACTTGACCTTAAAAAAGCATTGATGTAAGGCAAAACGGGCAAATGTAAACCGGGCAGTGGCAGTGAACCTTAAAAAAAAACATTGTAGGGCATATCAAGCAAATGTATACCAGGCAGCGGCACGTAATTAGATCTAGTATATATTTCGGACATTCACCAAAGCGACTATGTGATTATCTACATTCACCAGTGAAAGTCAACAACCATCAATTTCTATCATTTACAATAACAGAATCAATTCATCGGGGATCAAACTAGGATTTTTTTTATTGAACTTAGTGAGAATTGCGAAAAAAATAGCAAATGTTAGCTGTAATAACAATTGTTAAATTAAAATATTTGTAAATGTTTCGTCCTTCAAGAAACTGAAATTTTTGTATGTTTCTTAGACTAATGGCCGAAACTCAAAACCTGTTATAAATTCCTATACGTACACAATAAAAAGCAAATGTTTCAAAATCAAAACAAAATAATAATGATTATGTAAGAAAATAATAATGTAAAAAATAATAAACATTTTTATAAATCTCTTGGGAGGATTTAATTATGAAGTAATAAAAAAAAATAGGCAATTCAGAAACTTCTGGTTAATATTTCATTAAAGAAAACGAAAAAAGGTGAAAAAGACATTTTACCCTTTGCCCCTCGCAAAATGAAGCCAAACCCTTTCTTCCCTTTGTGAAGAATAACTGTTCTTGGCTCGCCAAATCTGGAAAAAAAGAATAAAAATTGGAACACACATTTGCTATTCTAATGCATGGGAAATGTCTTAAGCAAAGAAACAAGTATTTAAAAGCATAATCCTTCTGTGTACTATATGCGTCATATGCTAAATGGAAAAATTCGGCTTTCTGCAAACCCTTACCATACATATGAAATACACCATATTAATTAAAAAAGTCTCCTTGACTTTTTTAACAGTTTGACATTTTTAAGCTCATTGAAATGAAGCCAGGTCATTTTAGGCTAATAAAAATATGTTTCTCAATGGGGGTTATTGTAGGTGGTTTGCAATAAACGTATATGTTTTTAAGCTGATAAAAAAACTTTTAATTCATTGTTGAATAAGCTAGATTTATTATAATTCTTTCCTTAAAGCACTGGCATTTATGGGTGGCCCATTTTATTAAAACCATAGCAAACTCAATCCTGTTGAGTTAATCTAAGTAGATTTTACATGGGGTGATTGCACACATGGGGATTTAAACACATGGGGTGATTGCAAGTAATGATTGCTTAAGATTATCAGGCTGATTAGAAAATAATACTTTTCCGAGCAGCCTGGTGCAAAATGAAAGCAACGGTAGTGATCTTTGCAAAAATTTAGCTTACGATATATATGCGAAAAATTTCTGCTTAAGAAGTTATAATTGAATAATGGCGAAATAAAAAATTTGAGTGAAATTAGTCGAATAGTTCTTGAGAAATCAAATTTTAAATATGTGACTTTTTTAAAATTCTATCTCTCAGGAACTACTCAACCGATTTCGCTCAAATTTTGTATTTTTCCATGCAAAATTGCATACTTTAAAATGATGTTGAAAAATGCATACCTTTCATTTCAAAATTTTTTCGCTGACTGTTAAATAAAATAATAAAAAAAAAATAAATATTTACTAAAACTTATTTTTTGCATGGGATTATCTTTGGTTAAGTGAATTTCCCAATTGTGTGCAAAAATTCGCTTAAAAAATTCTCGAGATATGGGCAATACACGAAAAGTAAAATTAATATTATGGGGATCAGATTTTGGACCGTTCTCCATGTTTCCCATGTTGCGCCACTCCCTGTTCTTTGGGGGTCAGATATCCGAATCCGTAGAAAAAAAAGTTATGTTTATTCAGAGAAAGTACGTTTTTGTGTCCGATTTTCTGACTTAAACTATCGTACCCTCTTGTGATATTCACCTGAATTAGTATTGAAAACGATCCAATTTGAACTGTAGGTTGAAATTTTCGATTCTTAATTAAAACAATAAAAACAAAAATATCGTTCAAAACATGAAATTCTCTTTTATTCACAACTCAATAAGTATTTATGGGATCTCTCTGGTCCCATATCTCAAAAATAAACTCACCAACAAAATAACAAAAAAAAAAAGCATAACAAAACAAACAAAAAAGCATAACAAAATTAAAAGTGAAAAAAAGAATTCTAATAAATGTTTATCACACAGCAGAGGTCGTCATAGCAACGCATGTAATGACGACGCATGCGCACTGTTTGCTATTACTCTTGAACACAGTTGAAAAGTGTGATGACGTCCAAATAAGATGCGCACGATACCAAACCCAAAACAACACCCATTTTGATAATGGGTAAAAAACTAATTAGACCGTGCTTATTTGTAGACAAATTTATGATTTAAAGGTACATAACGAGCTATTCTCTGGCATTTGGTTAAAAATAATCCATATCTTTAAAAAACAATAAGGGTTAAAAATAACACATATCTTTCAACAAGTGTAATTTTTTTTAACATCAATCATGCTCTCCCTAATTATGATAAAATGCTTCGTCCTTCTCATTGTATTTTCGTAGCCTTCAAGTGTGTTAAAAACTATTACTTTCGGCTACAAAAAAGATGTTAGTATTAGATAACGTTTTAGGTCCATTTCTCTTTATATCTTCTGTTTTTCTTTTCTTTTTACTAGTTTCACCAGGTATAAAAAATAAGTAAACAGGATATGAAATGGTATGAAATTGTTCTTACAGTGTAAATTAGTGTGTAATATCAGTGTGTAATACCAATTTATAATACTTAATATACAGGTCACAAAATGTTATCTTCACTCATAAGTTTATAGGATGCTCCAAATTTTAAATGCTAAATCAAAAGGGGGTAGACGTTTTACTTTTACATTATTCTTTTAAGTTTTCCCTTTTGTAATGAAAAAAAAATTCCATTCAATACTTTTTTATCCAATTTGGGGTTAATTAAATGTGCTTTTAGAATACGTCTACTCACTTGAATTAAAATAGTTAAGACTTTTAAATGAAATTTTCTATTTTTTAAAATTCCATTCCAAAGGGTTATAGATCTAGATAAACTTCCTTTAAGTTCTACTTCATTTTTAGTTTTAAGGTAAAAAGAAATATTTTTTATTTTTTCCACTTACTATCCATTTTCCGGTTATCGGTTTTACAAAAAAAAAGGAAAATGTTTAAGCTTCCGGTAAAGGGAATTAATTTTCAACTAACATTTAATTATAATTAATGAAATATTGAATGTTTCATGAAACGTAGAATGCTTTGTTTAAAGTGAAACAACTATAAAACATGCATGTTTATATATATATATATTTTTTTATTTATGAAAAAATGCGACTATTGATATCCAGATCTTCAATAATTAATTAAATTAATAATTCTTTACATGTTAGGTGAATAGCATCATATTAACATGTTTCGAAATAACCACCTTCAGCCTTAATGTACTTCTGTACTTGAAATTAAAGTTTCAGTTACATCTTTTAAAACCTTGATTCGAACTGTTCTTTTTTAATCCTCACGTTTGGATTTTTTTAACGACTTTGAATTCCTTAAACCGTGTTCCTGAAGCAATTTTTTTGAATTTAGGAAGTTGTGAAAAAGAACCTTCTATTTATTTTTTGGACAAATTTTAAAAACTTTTTATTCCCAAAACTCACATTTTTTTTTAAAGGAACAAGGTATCGAAGACGTTAAGAAGGAAAAAAATTGGTTGCAATACAGTAGAGTCTCGATAATTCGAGTCTCGGTTGTTCGACTTTCCCATTAATCCGAACTAGTGAAAAAAAAGTCAGTCTTGCTCCCAAATAATGACAGGCGCACACACAACACGTGGAACAATTATTACGATTGAATTTACGATGATTACTACGACTGAATGTTGGAAAACGATATTTTGTGTTCAACTCTGAAATATATGAATAGTGCGTTTAAACAAAAAACATTAGACAATTATTTTAAAGCACAATTAACTTGGTGCAGTGATATAATGAATATTAAAACTTGGTTTATTGTAGTAAATGTTCCTTGATCCTCTAATGTAAGCAAATTTTCTTTAAATATAATATCTTCTTTTTTTCACTAAATACTAAAATTTAAAAACTGTTTGTTTCTATTTATTGAAATATTTATTAAATTTGACATTTTCGAAATTGGCAGTTTTCGAAAGTTTGAGGTAGGCTCTGTCCCATCCACTTCAAAATATCGAGACTCTACTGTATTATGTTTCTGTACTCATTTCATTTGTAGAACTAAAAGAATGATTGTTGATGATGATGGAGAAATACATCAACATGGATTTTAGAATTTTTTTCTTTTAAAAAATTTTATTTTTTGCATTAATACACCCATTTTTCGGTTGCAATAAAATTTTGTTCATTGAAATAAACATACATGTATTTAAGAGTTACAAATTCTTTCTGACACTTTTGAAGTCTAGTACAAAAGTGCATTACGTATCAATCAAGTGACGGTCACGTTGAAACATTTACAAATAGACGTGTAATTTACATAATATTTTTAAGAACAATTAGATAAACCTTAGAAATTAATTCTACTCCAAAGAAAGTACTCGCTGGTAATTTATATAGATACTGAAATACTAACATTATTCATTATTTTTACCTGAAATAAAATGACTGACAGTTAATTTAAAGTGTTAATGAAACTTACGCTTTCCACTTTCTGTTAGCATCTTTAACGTTTAAATTCCTGCGTCCATCTCCACGCATGCGCCCCACGGGTAAAGTATCCGCGCAGCGTATCGCCATTTCTTGCACACAGGCAGCCGGAAACAATCCTTCTTCGCCATCGCGTCTTCTTCCTTCCAAATATCCACTTCCGCTCACTCCAAGAACTGTAAATACGTGGTTAAATTAATTATTTTGCGTTATGTATGTCATATATAAAATTGGGCACTGTAAGTATATATATATANATATATATATATATATATATATATATATATATATAGAGAGAGAGAGAGAGAGAGAGAGAGAGAGAGAGATAGATAGATAGGTAGATATACATACAAAACTCACGCCTACTTTTCTGTTAGTTGTGACACTACAACAACATTGATGGTTGACAATCAATAGTTAAGAGAGGATGGGAAGAGAATGACTATCGAAATATTTAATAAATCACTGCTGAGGAAGGTGAGACGGAAAAAATCAAAACTAGTTTGAGTTCCTTGAAATGCAGTTTGAAATCCTTATTTTTTTTGTTTTGTTTTGTAGTTGTACTTTTTTGTAGATTGTTTGTGATCGAGTACAAAATGGAGAAGTTTATCCGATATTACTGTGAATGACCGGCATCAGGAGAATGTCGACTTTCACCGGTGAATGTCAACAATCACATAGTTGCTTTGTTGAATGTCCGAAGCATTTTTATATCCAATTTGATACGACTTTATTTGTTGATATTATTATATTTATTCGATATTTTAATACATGTTGAGAATAGATTGGGAGAAACATCAGTGTTCAGAGTACCGGTTATATGTATACTGGGCAGGGGCACTTAACTTTTAAAAAACACTGATGTGGGGCATACCGGACAAATCTATACCGGATAGTGGCACTGAATCTTAAAAAAAATTGATATTGGACATACCGGGCAGTGACATTTAACTAGACCTATTATATATTTCGGATATGTGATTGTCAACATTTACCGGTGGAAGTCAACTACCACGTTCGATCATTTTTAGTAAACTTTCAACTTTAAAAATGGGATACAGAACACCTATACTCTTTGCAAATAAAAAATAGGTCTTATAAGTCTGAGCGATTTCTCCGTTCTCGCCAGTTCCTCCTCTCTGTCACCATGTTTTCAAAATTTTTCACTTTTTACCCCCAGACAATATGTTTCAGTAAGACGTTGGAGTGTACTAACAAGGAAGAGCCATTAGGTGTTAACCGTTGATCCAAGACATTTTACTTAAATCATCAAAAATACTGAAATAGAGATTGAGTGGAAAAAAAGTCAATGCTAAAGGACATCTCAGGTCACTTATTTGCTATAGATGTTACCGGCATGGGCATATGGTTAAAGACAGCACAAAGGAACGTGCGTGAATTGTAACGCATTAGAGCACCAGAGGAAAAAGGCTGGAGCATTTGCATTAATTGCCTAGAAGTAACACTTCCTGGAAGATAAAAGGCTTCCGCACGGGTTACGTGAAGCAAGAAATCCGACCCTTTAAGTAGTCCGAATGTTGTGTCATTTTTTTTATAAACTTTTGCGCATTTTATGTTCATTGAATTATTATTAAATAATTTCATTGCATTGAATTGGATAATTTGAAATGTACTATACAGTTCTTGACAATCTTGAAATCCAGTTTGTCATTTTAATGCTAACAGCTCCGATTTATCATAAACCCTGAAATACCCAGGTATGGGGTCCCTAAAATTTCTTAAAGCCTGCTAAATGCTACTAATGATTTCTTTTTATGTTTTTCCTCAAGAATTGTCTATTAGAATTATGAATTAACAAAAATTGTAATAAATATGAGATCAAATTTACTTACATATCGCAATTTACTTACGCTATAAATGATTTAAACGCACTTCATAAATAAACAACAAGTAAACTTGGTTTAAAGTTACGATCAGGTGGCGTCTGGCAATTCTGGCAATTCTATACTTAACTCTTCACATTTCCTAGATCAAGCCCTGGCTGTTAATGATATTTAATGTCTAATATTAATATGGCCTAGCACATTGTACGTACAAAAAAAATGATAGATACTTTTTTTCGGTAAAAAAAAATATCCTTAACTTAAAACAAAAATGACTCTCTTATTATTAAAATGCCAATAATGAATTTAGTTTCTAAATAGAATTTTTCTCCTATTACCAAGACAAAACACGTTTCATAATGTTAAAATATAATGTCATGTAGCATAAACAATGCCATTTTTTAAAGGTTAGAATAGTTCCCTGGATCACTAAAGGTGCGATATTCCGGCAAATCAATATATATATTGTATACAGACATTCAAGTTCAGCATTGCCTCAGCAAAAGAGTTTTAGTAGATAAAAAAGGGACTGGTAGGGTGTTGGACCCATGTTCAAACGGTCTTGAGTTTGATCCCCACCGACCGAACACTCTCCGTGTAAAAAATGGTGACTGGTGCACGCTAAATGTGTCGGGGTCACAAAATCCTCCCAGTTCCCATAGAAAATCAATACCTTAAGGGGAACTACATCGGAGATCGATCGTGATCTGATTTAGGTCAAAATTACTATCTGCGGATGGATGGCGAGTGAATGTGTCCTCCCACTAAAACGGAATGTGTCGTATGAATGTTGTCTCCAAATCTTTTTCAAGGATGTTTTTCAAAGACCGTCGCCAATAGCCTATTGTGTAGCTCCAGTGCGACGTAAATAAAAGTACCAGTAGATAAAAAGGACAAGATATTTTCTGGAAAATAGAATCAGCCTGTTTGACTTACTTTCGAGGAGATCGCCTTTGGCTAGCTGTAGATGACCTGCAGCCGATGGATTATAGTCTTCTACGCAGACACAAACTGCTTCTGTCATGGGAGTAGATTTTGCGGAATCGAACGGATCAGAGTCAGTTCCACTGCTGTTGGCGCCAGCGCCACTTGTTTCGATTCCTTCTAGGTGAGAGAGACGTCATCAAAACACTTATAACATACACACTTTATTTCAATGATTCTAAATAGAATTTTCTTTACACACGATATTTTCAATACTTATTTTCACTAATATGTAATTTAATTTCCTTAACTCCGTTGAAAGTTAAGAAAAGACCACTGTGGCGAAAGATTTAAGTAATAATCCGCCATTCCATATAGTTCTGTTTTATTTAGTTATCAAACTATATAAATTTGCTTACAAAACAATATAAGAGCTTTTTAAAGTTAAACTTGTCTGTTAATTCGTTCTATCTTCTACTGTATACATATATGTAATAGAATTATTTGAAAAGGGTTACAGTTTCGTCGTATTGTTGGAATCCTAGACTTGACGACATATTTCGATATAGAAGAAAAACATTCGTTTTTGAAATAGAAACAACTGTGAGACGTTGCCAGACCATTGGATTTGTTTGGACTGTCGGAATAAATAGCTCTTTATGCTGACATACTCTTAATAAATAAAATGTGAGATAAAGAATTTTTTACTCTTGTTTCGCTGCAGAAGAAAATCGTCAACAAGAAACAATATTTATTATTCTTTCATCAGTTGATTTAAAAGCAAACAGAAAGACGTTTATTTGTTACGAATTTTTAGACATAATTTTTATTAATTCGTATTAAAAAAAACAATAGTTTTTATTCTTTAACACGATTTACGAGAGCAAGCAAAAGGAAGGCTGCACAACGTCGTTTCAGTTGGCGATGTTGATCTATTTGGCGTGCATTTAGATGCAAACAGGCTCTCTCCATAAGAATAATGTTTTTTTACTTGCGACAGAATATAATAAGTAAGACTGCTTGATAAAACGCAAAATAATATTTTGGTGAAACAAAATCATTTCCAAACTCTGAACAATCACTATCATAGTCAAGAAAAAGAGGGAGCTATGATTAAAATCATCTAAGATCAATTCACACGTCTAATAGGATTAATAAGTATTCATCTTTTTTTTACTAGGAACCAGTCTTAAGAGTCATTAGGTTTCATGTTAAACTTTTGATTTTCGATGTTTTCTTTATATTTTTTAATCACTAACAAAATCTATGATAGGCCTTTATTTGACAGCAATATACTTATCAAAAAAGTAATAAAGATGGTTCTTTAATAAATTTCGGAGAGACAGCGCTTGAAAACTTTTAAAACATATATAGAATTTTTTTCAAAACTTTGAAGTAATAAAATGATGCGATTTTAAATTTTTAATAGAGAGTTTAATTTTAACTAAATTAAATTTTTTTTAAAAAATTTAATTGTACTAAACTGATGAAGATCGCTTTAGATGCCCTTAAAAAATCTCTTAATGTAAATTACATATAAAATTAAACTTCTAAAAAAGGCTGCTTGCAGAATTGTATTATTTTTATTTTCTCAGAAAGAGTCTATAGTTATTCTAAAATTTCGCGTGCTATATTCTCCTGCTCTGTTTAGATTATGAGCTAGTAGTTTACAATCCTCCAGCATTAGTTAACGAAAATTAAGTAAAAAAATGATTAACAGCAAACTTCGAAATTTCTCCAAAGTTTGAGTTAGTTCGAGAGGAAAGAGGATTCTGAAACTCCATCCTCCTCAAAATAAACTAGTTACATTATTTAAATTATTCTTTCGCTATGATAAACCTCTGTAATGGTTGGTTAGAGTTCGTAAACGTGTTTGTTCTTTCACACGTATATTAAATTATGAGTTCATTATGTGTACATATTATTTTTATTTCCTTCCTTCAAGGATTCCTACAATTTGTTCTAGGAATGATCATTACAAAACACCCTGGAAGCGTGTTTGCAAGTGAAATTTAGTTGCAAAACTGTATGATGAAGTAGAAGAGATAAGAATGTGTCATAAATTTTATTCATTTCTCGGGATTGAATTTTTAGGATCTCGAAACCATTTTGAATTGTAATAGTATATATCAAAGTAGTGAACAATGAAAATCAATTTTACGCCAATCTAACAGCGTGTAACTTGTTTATTTAATCAGATAGCATTCAATTCTATTAATATAAAATTCAATAAAAGGGAAAACTAACAGCTTTCGACTTGTAAACATGATTTTTGTGAATAAGATACATTTGAATAAATCTAAATGTGTTGCTTTGTTTAGAAAATCCAAATTTGATTAAAACAGACTTTCTGCATGGCTGGTACAACTATTGAGTGGACAATGCTATTTAAACAAAATTATTGCTGACCATATTGTAGAAAACAACATTGTCCACCCTAAAGGTCATAGTATGAAAACTAATTCAGATCATCATGGGTTCACAGAGTTGCGGAAGAGCATGGTGAGAGGTTGGTGAGAGTTATAAATGGTGAGAGTTTTGAAGTGGTGTTGTAGTTTCAATGTGGTTCCGTGAAGATGTATTCGGCATTCAAAAATACTTCTTAGAAGACAAATACCAAGTATTCAGAAACTTTATTGCAATGAACCCACTAATGAAATTGGTTAAAACATACCATCTAGTTCAACATGATTCCGCATACATGATTTTGAACGAATCAGGATTCATGATCAGCGGTTTAGTTCTAAGTCACGTAACTTAGGAGAAAAGCATGCTGAATTAATGATTTATAATCATAGGTTATAACGACATTTTTAATATTTATTTATAGTAATAGTCAGACGAGAGCTAAAGAATGACTCAGAATAGAATGCTTGCTTCTAAAATTGGTACCCCAGGTTCGAAACCCAGAGATGTCTGGTCGATATCCTACATTATTCCCCCTCTCATCAAAACAGGGAATATAAGAAACATTTCAGAGGTGGCCGTTATGTTTTCGGAAGTAATAAATCTAAATCCGTCAAAAAAAAGTATGCATACTCAGAGAAAGTATGTTTTGTGTCTGATTTCCTAACTTAAAACATCATCTGCACATATTAATTGGCGTATTTGAGGCATATATGGCAACGTTACTTTTAAAAAGTAACGAGTAAAAGTACAAGTATTTTTAAAAAAAGTAACGAGTAAAAAGTAAAAAGTTCTTATTTTAAAAAGTAACGACTTAAAAGTACATTTCTAGGAAATCGAAAATTGAAAGTAACCTAAACTTTTATTGAATAATATTCTTATGTTCTTTAATGTTTTTGCGAAATTGTTGTTATTTATTTAATTATTTTTAATTTTGAAAGTTATGGATATTAATTTATTTTTAAATTCGGAAGAATATTATAATATAATTTTATAATATAATCGTATAATATAATTTTAAAATCAAATATAATTTTAATATCAAACTTTTTATGGATTTGCACGAAAAAGAAATTTTATCTATTGATTTTAATTTTTAGTTTATTATTTTTATTTATTTAAATTACCATTGATTTAAAATTGTTTTACTCTTTAGAAACGCGTTTTAAAAGAACAAACGTAAACAAAGCAAACACGGGGTTTCAGTTAGCTTTGTGACCCTTGAGCTAGTAAAAAATAATTGAATGTGCAGTATAAGTTGAAACAGAAGGTATTTAAACACGAAGTTGGCTGTTAATGCGTATATATTGCACATTAATTTCATAAATTAAAAAAAAAACATAAATATTATTTTTAAATATTTTTTTTTTCAAAGCTTATCGAATTTACCGAGTTTTAGAAAAAAGTAATGATTTCCTTCGATATTTTCGTTACAAATACTTGTACTTTTTCCCTAAAAAAGTAGCGAAAGTACAAGTAAAAGTACTAAATTTAAAAAGTAACGAAGTACAAGTAAAAGTACTAAATTTAAAAAGTAACGAAGTACAAGTAAAAGTACGTACTTTTTACTTGTACCGGCGATACAAGTAACGAAAGTAAAAGTACTGCCATATATGATTTGAGGTCACCCTTTCAAGTCATTAAGATTGAGAGCCAAAACCTAAGGGTTCAATCATTAGATCAAAAGTTATACAGCGTGGTCCGTTTTTTATTTTGCTCACTGTTCTGTGATACTGTGTCTTTTATGCGTTCGATTTATTAGTAAATTTGTATTTAATTTTAAGATTGCACTATTGTTCTTTTTGACCTGATTTTGAGGACATCAGAAACTTACCGTTGGAGTGGTTAGTGACTTGTCCACTTTCTTCTTCCTCGTGTTGACCATCGGAGAGGTGCGGTAAGGAATGGTTGGAGGGACAGGGAGAGGGGGGTTTCCCGCCTGAATTCACCAGTTCCAGACGTGGGTCACTGTGATTTTGACTTGTGGTGCCCATGTTGGCTGCGCTGGTCCGCCGCCTTGGATTGTAGCGGGGTGCCTCACGGTACGGCACTGTAAAGGACCAAAACCAATCAATACCGGGGTCACCTGATCACTTTTAGGCATTTATATTTACATGTAAATATTGAATCTCGTTTTTAAATTTTTTTGGACTACTGTGATATCATTTATGAAAGAAGTTTTTGGCTTTCTGAATTTATCCTGTTTTCTTTAAGGAAAAAAGTTATAATTTAAATTAAATAAATTTAGCGATTGTTTGGAATTACATATTTCATAAAAAAAAACCTTTTCACTTAAGCTTAAGAGGACGTCATACCACGAGAGAAACTTTTCATCGCCAATTCTCTTTCATCACCAATTCTCTTTCATCACCAATTCTCTTTCTCTCTTTCTCTATCCATCACTAATTTAAAAGTGTAGAAGAAATGATTTCAGGCAAACCTAGAGTAAGTCACAAAATTTCAAATACTGAAAAGAAATGTTAAAATGAAAATAAACTATGAGAATGTAACTTAGGATTACGCAATGGAGAATTTCTCTACTAATAATTTGTTTGAGCTTTTTTTTCTTTTTCAACAATTGAAATTTTATGGCTTACTCTATGTTTGCCTGAAATCATTTTCTCTTTCTTTTAAATTCTAAATCAATAATGGATGCGACAGAGTATTTGTGACGAAAAGTCTCTCCCATGGTTGGGCGTCCTCGTAAACGAAAGTGAATGGCTCAGTGTTAGAAAAGTTTTACGCAAAAAAATAATTTCCTTTTCAATTGAATCAGTACGAAACTATTGGGTTATGAAGGGAGTAATTTCGTTTTTTTTTCAAGCAGGGGACATAATTATAGTTTTTCACTGCCATATTCATACTTAAACCGCATGCTCATCATATATTTTGGCAGCTGATATAGCAAGGCTTGTTAAAATGGTTGATTAACTCTATGCAGTAGATTTTCGACTGTAGCCTTTTCAGAAATGGAAAGTGAAAAGCAGTATTTTCGAGAGATATTTTACTCTTCACTATTGAATAGGGTAAAATGCTGTTCAAGCAAGAGAATAATTATTCAATGTGTATAGATAAGATTTATTGGCAGTACTCTAGTGTCAAACCTGGTTTGCAAAATTTGGATCCGGCAATATTTCGATTACGATGCACGATGATGCACCACGACAGTTTAAGCCAATGAAGGCAAGATTAAAGAATTAATTGATTTAAACCGGGGAATAATAAATCATGAAATTTCAAAGAGAAGAAACTTATTTAATTCGAGAATTCATAATCATTTGAAAAAGCCAAGGTTAAATCTTAAAATTCGACTTAAGGATTCCTGTTTTTTTTTTTTACGAAATAAAATTTGGCCTCCTGTTACTTGCTTCTCAAAGTCAAGAATTTTTTTTAATTTCTATCACTGAATATATAGCGAAAGATATATATAGCGAAAGAATTGAAATCTTTGGGGATGAATATGGAATGCGTCACTTAAGAGAATTCATACTTGACGGGCTTGGCTTACTCGAAATAGAATGGAAAGAACAGTTGCTAGCGTGAACAGATGCCATATTTAAATAACCAATCAGGATCGAGGTACCCACACTACGTCACTTGCAGATATCCCATTGAATTATCAACAAAAATGTTGCGGTCTCTACAAAAATTTTTAGAGGGCAAAACCTCTTTACTTATAAGGTAGTTAAAAATAATTTTTTTTTACCTGCAAAAAAAAAGTTTTATGTACATGAAATCATGATACTGCCAAAAGGATGGCAAAAAGCATTGGACCAAAATGGATAATACATGATTCCATAAAATACTTATTTACTATAACAAAAATCACTTTTTTTCATAAAAGGAAACGCAATTACTCTCCGAATAATCCAATAGGTAGCACTGAATTTGTTTAACTTATCAATCAACAGATTATGAATTCCTACATTTTTTCAAAATTAAATAAGTCGTTGTTAAAAGTATTCAACTCCTCATTGTTAGTTTGAAATTAAAAAGAAATAGTAGTTGCTAGAAATTTGAAATTTAACATAGATTTGCTAACGATAATTTTTTAGACGGAATATACACACGGATAAGAGATCATCGATAATTTTTGAATGGTATATTCAAGTTAATTTTATAAAAAAATTGTGAAACTTTAACAAATAATGTAAACAACATCAATAATATATAATTTTGTATTATTTGTAGAATGGTTTGAAATTTAGGGAAATAAATATAATTTAATTTTAACAATAATATGATATAGAAATTTTAATCGTGTACTCTTTTTTTCAAATATGTGATACAAGTAAACAATAACGCGTTTAAGTATTACTTTTACGATGTTTAATTCGGTAAATATTATGAATATCGTTTCATGTCGATTGGTAAGTAATTGATAAGGAAATGCTCACAGGTTTTAATTACTACTTCCATAGAGTTTATGTTTCCTTGAATTTAAGAAGAGTATGGGATCCCCCTCATAACAAATTATAAAGAAATTAAATATAAAATGGATTAATGAACAAAATCTTGGGAATTTAAACTAAATAACAAGTGTAATGGTGTTAGGATAGGATTGGTGCAATATTCAGTGTAACTCATTGCTTTCTTGGGGTAATATTTTGATCAAATTTTAAAGATAAAAAAAAAAATTTGCTTCAAAATTGGCCAAGTCAAATTTTTCTTAAATTGAAAACCCAAAGGACGTGAATATGTAAAATCTTATGAGAAAAGTCAAACTAACTTTAATTCAGAAGTATTCAATTTGAAGTATATACATATTATATATATATAT